GACAAGAAAATGGGCTTTATGTGGGACGCCAACCAAAAGTAGAGATGTAAACCTTGAAAAACTAATGACTTGAGCATGGTGAGGCAAGAGGGATTTCAACCCTATACTCTATTCTGGGTAGATCCCATAAAGTAATTTCTGATATCAACTAGATATCACATCAGATAGTGATGTTCATTTTAGGGGGATTCAGGTAGTTGCAAAAGAGATGCTGGTGAATTGCATGAGGCCCCCAGGCCACAATTTTCCCCATCCCCATAATATAGTTGACTGTTATAGCCACGGTAAGTGTTAGAACTGGTTCCAATAGCTGCAGTTTGGCTCATTTAACTGATGACATTATGGATGTTTCATTTGCCTCTTTCAGTTTTGCATTTATGTATCACTTTTGAATGATTTTTACCTTAAATTCAAATAAAACAGGATATTGATAAAGGAACTGTTGATCTGGTCCAACCAGCAACATCCTGTTTATATACTTGTGCCATGAAGTTACACCTGGTATGTGCCATAGTATAGCTAGTAACCAGGTATAATTTCATGGCACAAATATATAATCAGGACATCGCTGGTTGGATCAGATCAAGAGCCAATCATTCTCTTCTGGGAAGATGAAAGTTAGGATTGAAAGCAACAATTCTTTGCCACCCTCCCAACAACTTTGCACAAAGATCCAAGTACCTCCTCTAAGGAATCTTAAGTTACTTTAATTTTGTGAAGATTAGGACATCCCCTTAGTTGTTGCACACCCATGATTCCTAAAGCATCTTGTAAGTTGAACCTAGTTCAAACTAGGTTCAGCTTACTAGCTGAACCCAGTTATTGAAGAATATATAGAATGGTTACAGGCGGATTCTTTAGCCAAATCAACTTTCCCCAAGCTTGTGTCTTTCTGATCTCTTGGCCCATTCCCCAAAATCCCAGCTATTATAATTACTAGGAGGGCACCACATTGGAAAAAGTCAGTCTATTTTATACAGAGTGCTTTCCAAGGAAGCTTTTATTACATCATTGTTCTGACTCATTCATTCACAAACTTTTAGAAGGAAAATAACATTTCCTACTTATAAACTTCCTGGGCTTTCCTACTGCTTTTTCCATTTCTTTTCTTTCCCCAGAGGTCTGCTAAGAAAGTCAGAATAGCTGTTGCACACTTTTTGATCAAGCATTCACAAATCTTCTGAAAAAAAAACAAAACACCTGATATTATTTCCAGTTTATTGCTCTGTATGGTTATCTCTTTTTAGCCTCACACTACTCATTTTTCACTTTACTGTATTTAGCAAACTTGGTGGCTACTTTTAGTCCCCGTTCTGCTCATAAAACATCTGGTCTTAGCCATCTCAGGCTAAGCTGGGCCTGGTTAATACTTAGAAGGGATACCTCTAAGATATACCAGAACAGTAGACTAGACAGTATACTACACTCTTTACGTTGTGCATGAAGCTGGGGAAAAAAATCACAGAAGATCACAATGGCAAACCACAAGAAAACTATATAGATTATCCATAAAGTCACCAGAAATCCTCGAAGAACATTATATCTTTATTATGCATGAAACAACATGAAATGTTGAACTATAGAGTCACCTTGTGGTGATAAGAGGCTATTACACACTCAACTACATGCATGATTTATTACAGTATTTCTATCCATTTCCAAATATATATAATGCATATATAAATTAATTAAATCAATATAACATAATGGTAACAAATTATAGTAAAACAATAAACTATCCAATTAACTTCTAAATACCTGTCAGAATATGCAATGCTTATTTTGAATTACTGTATATGTGTACAGTGGTTGAAGAAAAAAAAAAGACCATTGCCCAATTTTCATTAAAAACATAACTAGACCATGAGTCAAGGATTAAAAATAAGATTCAGTAACAATGAAGTAGTAATACTCTTTGTGTCCTGCTATCAGAACATTTATTCTGTCACTGTATTTCTCCATTTTGGAGAGAACATTCATGTGCACAAGGTACTTGAATTTAGATCAAGTTGAATGCATGGGGATTATATTCTTAACCTTGATTCCCATTTTCTTTTCTGTGGCATGACAATTACCACATAACAATTGCCAACAACAACCCTGTGAGGTGAGTTCAGCTGAGAGAGAGAGGCTGACCCAAAGTTACCCAGCCAGCTTTCTTCCCTAAAGTGGGACTAGAACTCACAGTCTCCTGGTCTGTAGCCTGGTCCCTTAACCACTAGACCAAACTGGCTCAAAAAATATTGTTTTTTGTTGCCAAAGTAATTACATGGAGTACACTGAGTCATCATGTGGTGGTAACATCCATCCCATTCAAGACACAGGTGGACAATCTGTGAGCTTACACAGACCTCAGTCTCAAATGGGGACATGTGGGAAAACCCTGCTTGTTTTCCTCTCTAGTCAGCTAAGAAGGGAATAAGAATTGATTTCACAGTGAGTCATGCTTAGGATAGGCCCACCAAAATCAGGGACAAAAGTCAGTTGCATTTAATTTAAGTCCTAATGATCTTAACATGCCTGGTCTAAGAATGATGAAAAAAAACTTAATTCATGACCAAGTATTTGAACCTAATTTTGAGCCTTTCCCTGCTGCTGGGTCAGTGCTGTCTTTTAAGACTGTGCAGTGATCTGGGAATACACAGCAGGAGACACATGTTCTCATGGAAAGAAGTCTTAGATTTAAGACAAATGCAACATATATGTCATGTGCACTCATAATCCCCCTTTCCCTTTCAACTCTGGATTGTTGCATATCTATTATCCATTCATCCTTGAATTGACTGAAAATTCTATTGGCATGAAATTGGTCACTGCTACTGCTGATCCCTGTCCTGCCTTCACTGCATCTGTTCCTAGTCATTTCCACCCCCTTGACTTCCTCCCAAGATAATGGATCACAAAGCCAAATATATTTTATTCAGCTTGAGTCTGCCCTTGGATGGTGATGGAATAAGAGGGAAAACACCACTTAAAAATTGGGATTGATTGATTATGTGCCATCAAGTCATTTTTTGGACTCCTAGCAACCACACAGGTAGATTTTCTCCATGGGGATCTGTCCATAACCTGGTCTTTTAGGTTTTCCAACATTGCACCCATTGCCACTGTAACTGAGTCCATTCATCTTGCTGTTGGTTGTCTTCTTCTCTTTCTTTCCACCTTTCCCAGCATTAAAACCTTTTCCTGAGAGCTATAGCAGTTTAAAGTTGTCTTATTCATGGGTTGGAGAAGAGATGAAAGCAACATCAAAAAGGCATAATGCACCATGACAGCAGCCACAAAACAGAAACAATTGTAACATTTTCAACATAAATTAGGCTTCAGGTGTACAAAAAAATGAATAATTTCAACTGACTTTCATAAGTTAAGTATAAATGATAAACATTTATCTAATCCACAGGGCAATCAGTACCTGCAACCTTTTCTCCAAAACTGAAATCCTGCTCTTCTGACCCATGTTTAGTCAAGATATAGTAAAGTGCACTTAAAAAAAAAAAATGCTTTTTTTACCAATTATTTTTATTTATCATCATGTACAAATTGAGAAAACAAAAGGAAAACAATATACAAAGATTAAAAGTTGAAGAAAAACAGTAGAAGAAATAATAGAAACATATACGAACATGTAACAAAATGACTTCCAACTTCCTTTGCAAAAGAGATATACAAAAAACTTTTCATACAACCTTATTTAACTTTATAATAAGACTTCTACTTTTCCCAATAGTCTATTATTATAACAAATCATCAAGCCCATGTGTCACTATTTGATTATGTTCAATTTCGTACAAGAAATCAATAAAAGGCTTCCAGTCCTTCTTAAATTTTTTCAATGTTTTTTCTTTTATGATCGCTGTCAATTTTGCCATCGTCGCGAGTTCTGACAACTTAACTATCCATTAGTTTTGTTTATATATATATATATATATTAGTTTTGTATACATACATACATACATACACACACACACACACGCACACACACATTTAAAATTATATATAAAAAGTATGTTTTGACTGATAAGAAATTCTTTACAGTTTTAATTGTGGAGTCCTTAGTGCTCTCTGAGCTTGGTCATTTGCTTGTAGATGTTTCATTACTCAACTAGGTAACATCATCAATACGAGTGAGTGTGGGGTTTGCTCCCTGTTTATATACAGTAGCTTGCCCTGCCAGTTTGGGTGGGGGTGTAGTTTTCTCCTTGTTAGTTCCTTGATTATTGTTTTCTGCTTGATTGTTTGCATGGTATTAATCCCTGCTTATCTGAATGTTGGCTGCTGGAGAGGATGTGTTCTGGTTTCTGTATTTCCTTCTTAGCTTTTTTATTGTCTCTTTTGAATGGTTTACAGATATGGTTTATTTCTATGTGTCTATTGATGGTTGATTTGTTTGAATGCCAACCTTCCAGGAATTCCCTGGCATTTTTGGATTTAGCTTGGTCTAGGATGCTCACAGTTTCCCAGTTGAAACTATGGCTGAGTCTGTCCATGTGTTGTGAGATTAAGGAGTTTTCATCGTGTCTTCTGTCTACTAATTGGTGTTCATGGATGCGCTCTGCTAGTCTTTTGCCTGCCAAACCTTTTACGTTTGTCCTACGTAGTGGTTGTTACAGTCCTTACACTGTATGTTGTAGATGACTCCTGTTTTTTCTTCTTGGGCTACTGAGTCTTTTGGTTTGCTTAAGATATTTTGGAGTGATTTTGTTGGTTTGTGTGCTACATTAATACCGTGTGATTGTAATAGTCTGTTGGTTGTTTCTGAGATGTTTTTGATGTATGGTAGTGTTATCCTTTTCATAGCTTGTGTGGTTGTACTGCAGTTGAGTGGTCAGGCAACAATATCCTAATCAAGGAATTACCCAGCAGAAAACCACATCTCCACCAATATTGACAGGGCAAGCTACCATATATAAACAGGGAGCAAACCCCACACTTACTCACACTGATGATGTTACCTAGTTGCGTAGTGAAACATCTGCAAGCAAACAACCAAGCTCAGAGAGCACCAAGGGTTCCACAGTTCAACCCTGAGCTACATATATTCTATTGGAGTTTTAATCGTATCTTTCATTTTGAGCTTAATGTAAATCAGTATATTTGTACATACAACTAGTGGAAATAAATTCCCTAATGAAGTCCTTTGAACTCCACAAAACAAATTTGTGCCTAATTTATTATTGATTCTTCCCATTCATGCACAGTCATGTGGATTTCTCATTTTTAGACTACTGTCTGAAATACAGGTGGCCCTTGGGAGCATCTCCAGTCTAGCAAAAATATGGGTATAAAATGGAAAGAAACATATAATTGAGATTATTAGTGAATATCATACACATTAATCATGCCTTCGTAGTCTTTTGAACAATCAATCAAACAAACATATTACATTTGTATATTGGATGTACATTCATTGTTCCCCAGGTGAGGCTCAATACCTGTCACTCGCCATATGTTTGATTTCATGATGTACCAATTACAAAAGGTAATCTGTGTTAGTAAATGTGCTAAATGCCATATACTTCAGCACAATCCAAGAGTAAGCAGTCCAAATGGGAATGTGCGTCACTGCCAGTGAATGCTTGCCATTTATTGTAAAAGCCGTACAGTAAGCATGCCATTTTTATGTTAGATCATTATAGATTTTCAGGCCAACTACAGATTTTCTAATTTATCACAGGATGAGTAACTCTCATTATAGACTTGGATGGAGGTATACTTAACTGGTGGAGGAGGTGGCTTGAAAGATGGAGGTCTATTCATACTACAATGAAAATAATCCTGTTTAAAATGTGCAGCAAATGAACGTACCCAATAAACAAGTAGAATAGTTAGATATAATTAAAAAGCAAATTAACATCACAAAAATATAATTCTGCATAAAAATAGGTCCACCCTGCCACTAATTTACACTGAGGTAGGGACCATATGTACTCCTCAGTGAAAGCTGAATTATTAAAATCAGTAAGATTGCTAAAATACTTGTACTTCTTTCAGGATTCGGACCTCTTGTTCTTTTGAGTAATACCAAATCAATGCATAAACCAAACAGGCTGATTTCTGATAGAGAATGATAGAGAATTTATTAATTCTCTAATAAATAGAGAATTAAATCATGGAGGTCAACAAAGAATAAAGTGTTATAGTAATGGTGGGTTCAGTTGCCTGACTTCAATATTTTTCAGATATTGTACAGGAGATATGTGATTCTCTAAACATGAGAAGATGGTGTAATATGCTCTATAAGGTCTAGATTTTAATAATGTTTAATCTCAAGCTCATAATATATTGATATTACATGGACCTTATTTTTGTGTTTTTTTTATTTTTCTCTAATTTATTTTAATCACTAAAATGTATGTAGGTTTTTTAGTGCGCAATCACTAGCACATTTTGTCGTCATAGTAATTATTTGTTATGTCTTATTGATAACTTTTTTTTTTAATGTAAAAAAGCCTGTTGATTTATGTTCATTCTAAAGAGATCCAGTTGCAGTTAATCTCACTGCTTTGTATGGGATTGATTTCACAATCATACACAAAATTAAAGTAGAAATACTGGGGGTGGGGGTGGAGGGTGGAGGAGCATATACTGTACTTACATTTCTCTTTGGTGCTGACACCATTTTCTGATCCCAAAAATGATTAAGAGGGTGCAGGAGAGAAGCAGAAATGCTACAATTCCTGACCAGGGAAATGTAATATGTTTTGGAACAGTTGTAGAACCTGGAGACAGCACAGTATCAAAATTATTATAACTCAAATTATAAGCAAGCTTTGAACAGTTATCCTTTCTACACTGTCAAATTAAGAGTGGATTTTTGTTTCTGACAGTCACATGCAAACAAATCTGATCATAGAGGAAAGAGTCAACATTAGACAGGATTCAGTAGCCACCTTAGGTGGCAGATGCTGCGAGACAGGCCCAAGGTGTTGGCTACAGCTATGTATCTGTTGGGCTGACTTGTGGGAATAATTGTGTAATGCAGAGTTTTAAATGAATGCCTTATCTTGGTACTGTTAATTTCTAGCTTACTAGTATAGCACATGACATATTTTCCAACTTGTTATCCTATTGCAGCTCATATCTCCTACAATAATGTATTGTGGCTTATGCTACTTCAACAGTAGAAGACATAAGATATTAAGATTTCTGCCTACTTTTGTTCACAGTTTTGCAGTGGTGTGTGGCACTGGATGGCATTTATCAGGGCAAGTATTTTAATCACTATAAAATACTGTATTCATTAACATATGCAGTTCAAGCAGCAGTTGGACTGGCATATTGACACAGAGATGATTTAGAAACAAAAAGGCACTAAAAGTTTGCCTTCATCCTAAGTTGAGCATAAATCTATACAGGTAGTCCTAGTGATCACAATTGGCTCCAAAAATCCATTTAATATATAGTCCTCAAATACAGGACATATCAGATATTAAACTGATAAGAACAGATACTACACTTGATCTTAGCCAAAAGGCTGAGAAGCGATCTAGTGACCACAGCTGGGACTGGCAACTTGGTTGTTAAATGGTTGCTAAGTGAAACCATGACTGTGCTTTTGATCTTACTTCAGCTTTCCTTGGCTTTACAGACCTGCAAAGGTCATAAATGCGAGGATTGGTCACAAAGTTACTTTTTCATCACCATAGTAACTGCGAATGGTCGCTAAACGAGGCAGTTGCTAAATAAGGACTACCTGTATGTTATTCATGCAGCTTTTGAAATAATTTCTGGAAGTACCACCCATCTATCTTCCCCCCTTCTCAAGAATTGAAACATTGGCTTAGAAGTGAAATCAATTTCCAGGCATGAAAGTGTCCAAACTCTATACTGCTATATAAGCAAAGCTCACATCTTGCAGTGACCCTAACAAGCACTAACACCATCCCTCCCCAGCAACCATAAATTCTTGCAACTACCTCTATTCAGAATATGGGCAACCACATTCTGCAGAACTTCATTCTTTAGTGGCAGGTACAGGCAGAACAAATATATGTCAGAGCTCCTACAAAATAAATCTCTTCAGTCCTGATTATGATTTAGAAATTGTGGGGAAATTGATTAATATACTTCCTTTCCCTCAACCCCCTCCCTCCAGAGCAATCTTGCCAAAACCAGCTGCATCAACCTTTTTGCCTCAATCCTCCTCCTCCTCCTCCTCCTCCTCCTCCCCCCTCTGTAATAATTTCTAGATTAGGGTAAAATGAAACTCTTGCATGGAGACTCCTTTATAATTGAAGCAATAACTTACTGGTATAAAGGCCGTTCTTTACAGTATATGAATTAATAGGGCTACTCAGTGTGGTTAGTTCAGTCACTCTTCTGGTGGACAGGTTTCCTTAAAAACAGACAAGCATATGTTCTGTATGATTTCAGCCATTTTACTAATATTATAGTAACATAAAAGAATGATCTGCTATTATTATTATTATTATTATTATTATTATTATTATTATTATTATTAGCTGCATTTCCCATGCATATCTATTTTCTTAACAGCACTGGTGCAGCAAAATGTTTGGTATTTTAAGAGAAGCTTCCTTCCTTACAGCAATGAAATCATACTGTGGCCAGTGATATCTTGTATTCCATGTATCCTCAGTTTCCTGGTATTTTCACTTGGAAATCTGAAAAGGCAGCTATCCAGATCAACAGTAGAAGGCAACATCTTCTTCAAGTTCAACCTAGCCTTAGGTGACTTCATGGATAGGTCCATGTTGTTTTCTTGGCAATAATACCCAAAGGATTTGCAAGAATTTTTGGAAGAAACTGGTTCTGTGGTCTTTTATCCAGAACCAGTCCTGCTTAGCCTTCCCAAGTCAATCATGATTGATAAGGTGCAGTAGCACTGTATCATTTTTGGGTTGCATAAAATATGTTTTTGATTATTGATTGAAATAGCCTTCATGACTCTCGGCAGATTCCCATGCTCATTCTCTCTCTCTCTCTCTCTCTCTCTCTCTCTACCTCTCTCTCTCTCCCTCCCT